TCTCTCTCTCTCTCTCTTTCTCTCTCCCTCTCTCTCTCCCTACCTCTCTCTCTTTCTCTCTCTCTCTTTCTCTCTCTCTCTCTTTCTCTCTGTCTCTCTTTCTCTCTCTCTCTCTCTCCCTTTCTCTCTCTTTCTCTCTCCCTCTTTCTCTCTCTCTCTTTCTCTCTCTCTTTCTCTCTCTCAGTGAATGCACCTCATTAGTCAGGACCCGTAGTTGCATGCTTCAGTATAAAAAAGGTTGATAAGATACTTGACTGTACCTATCTAACCCAAGTGTTAATCAAGTTTTAACTACACCCAAATGTGAATAGCGCAGCCAGTGTTCAAGTCTACGGAAAAAAACAGTGTGCATTTAATAGATCACCATTATATCGTAATGGGGCTTCGATAGTGATTTGATTTACAGTCAAAATATTATGTTATGTGAGTATTTAAAATATCAATGAATATGCCTATTTATTTATTTATTTGTGTATTTATGTATTTATTTATTTATTATTTTAAAATGTATTGTTTATGTATTCATGTATTTAAGTATTTATTTATACACATATAAATGCATGTGTTTGTTCGTGTGTGTGTGTTTTGTGTGAGCATGATTGTGTGCGTAAGTGTGCGCGCGCGCGATACAAATAAGAGAAGAAAGAATAATTGACATGTTGAGCTCATCGCCTTTATTCCTGATGCTTCTTCATGCTGAAAAAAAAGCTGGGAATACAGAACCCATGGACCGTATCGTCAGGTCATGACCCCTTCCACCACCCCCCCCCAAAAAAAAATCCTCACCCCACCCCACACCCCAACTCCCACTGCCAGCCAAAGAGGAATACTTTGTGACTACGTGACCAACGGCTGGTTATCTGGTTCCATCGAGGCCTGTTGCATTTATTGAGGCTTTTCTCATATTGTGGTCCCCTGAGCAAATTTGTATGCAGTAAAGTAAGTATTGCTGTGGCCAAGCTGCTTGCACGCTTAGGTAGCACACACCAAGCAAATCAAATTGCCTGGTTCTTGGAGACGTCACGAGCATAGATATAAAGACAGGGTTCTAGTTAGGAGACTGCAGTAGTCACGACTCTCCACAGGGCCCGGGATTTGAGCTTATTCTATTTATTCTGAGATTGTGGGGAATAGTAATTATCACTGTGGTGGAACTGGTAAGGAGGTAATTTAGAACCGCATAACAATTGCTCCAGCGATGTTTGTCACTTTTCTTTCTTTCCTTATTTTTTCCTCTTTTTTTTTCTCTGTCCATATTATTTAACTTCGTTCTTCGTATTTCTTTCCTTCTGTCTGTCGTGCTACTTTTCTTCTTTTTTTTTGGGGGGGGGGGGGTTTTGCTTGTAATATTTTTGTCCATTTCTGTCTCTCTTTTTTCCCCTTCTTTTGTTCTTTCGTTCCATCTTTCTTTTTTATCCTTCTTTAATGTGTTCTTTCTTCATTGTTTTTACATTCCTTTTTCTATAAGTGTTATTCTTCTTTCTTTTTTATCCTTCGGAATTTTTTCCCCTTTTGTTTTTGGTTTTCTTTCTTTTCTATTTTATTTTTTTCGTCGTTCTTTCTTAAATTACAAAAAAGCTTCTCTCATCATACGGTTGTCTCCGGACCTAATTTACATGCAGCAACGACCTGCTTGAACTCTTAGGTAGCACACACCAAGCACATCAAATTACCTGGTTCTTCGAGAAATCTCGAACATAAAGACAGGGTTCTAGGAGACTGCGATAGTCAGGACTCTCCACAGGGCCCGGGATTTGAGCTTATTCTATTTATTCTGAGATTGTGGGGAATAGTAATTATCTCTGTGGTGGAAAAGGTAAGGAGGTAATTTAGAACCGCATAACAGTTGCTCCAGCGATGTTTGTCACTTTTCTTTCTTTCCTTATTTTTTTCCTCTCTTTTTTTACTTTTCCCTTTCCATCTTATTTAACTTCGTTCTTTGTATTTCATTCTTTCTGTCTGTCTCCTTAGTTTTCTTATTTTCTTTTTCTTTTTTTTGGTGCTTTTCTTGGTTTCTGTATTGTTTTTTTAATTTCTTTTTTCCTTTCTTGCTGTCTTATTTTCGTTTTTTCTTTTGTTCTTTCGTTCTTTCTTTCGCTATTTTTATCCTTCCGCGGCTCGAATCCCAAAACCCGCAACCTCACGATTATGAGTCCGGTAGCCTAACGATTAGGCCACCGACGCCACGTCTTTGGTGTTGAATAACATATTATGTAACTCCGGTGTGTATAACACAAACAAGTCCAAAAGTGCGTACATGCGTGAGCAGTTGTGAAGGAATCAGCAATCTCTTCCATTCTCACCAAGCGATATTTATTGCTTCTCCTTTCCACAGTCAAAGGGATATCCCATTCTAAAATTATTTGATAGCTGTATGCTTAAAACACGATTATAGTGCGGTTTAAAAATTCGTGGCACATTTTATCCTCAAATATCTCTTGAACAGTTAGGCTTCCAGCAAT